GTTGAGTTCAATAATTTGTACGGCCCTCGGAGGATGTTGTAAAAATTGAAAGGAAAAAGGTTCTCCACCCCTGCTGTAAATAATAATAAAAACCCTTGATTTATAACTTAATATCTCTGTCTCCTATTGATCTGAGTATATTATAAAGAATAGCCAGTTAATTGAAGCATTATAGCACAGGCCTTTGTCAGATGGTATATTACGCTGTTTTTTTCCTGCTTCGAATAGTTCTCTCTTTTTTCACCATACCTGTGTTTGCATCACTGATAATTGCCAGATACATCAATAATAGAATGAATCATTAGTGTCCGTTGTAGTTAGTGCACATCCAACAAAAGAATACTCAAGCAAGATCTTGAACATTTAAAGTGATTTAGAGCTGTATATATTCTGCTTTCTCCCTTGTGCTATGGCCTGCATACCAAGTAGATAACATCATATTTGATCCTTTACTAATGCTTTAGCTTGATGTTTGCACATGTATATGCTGTATTGAGTCAGTGAAACAAAAATGGTGCATGGAGCCATGGCAACAAGCTTCCTAATGCCCCTCCTCTCTGTTTCCTACAGTCTTGTCAAGGACATTGCCGTGACTTTTTTTTCTGGTCAAATAATTGAAGCGAGAGGTTCTCGTATGAAAGAATAACACACGTCATCAACTTGTGGAGGGGTTCCTGTCTCTTTAACAGAGAGAGAGCCCTCCCCTCTGCCTTCATCAGAGCTGTTGCGGAGACGACTTGTGTTGCCATGGTATCTGCTCCTTGCCCCCCCTCCCTCCGCACTGCGCAGGGCCCGTTGCCATGGTCACTGGCCTGAGTGACAGCTGGTCCTCACATAGACATGGGGTTTTAAATGGTCCCTTCGCGTCCCCCTGCCCCCCCCTCCTCTGCTCCACGGAGCTCTGCTGCCACCGGGGGTAGGAGTAAGCCCTGACTCTCTCGCTCACTCTTTGTCTGCCCAAGCTCTGCATCCGATCGCCTGCTGCAGCTTTTTTCAGAAGCAGATACAAGCTTGGAGGGGGGTTTCCACCTGCTGCTGAGCAGGACCCATGCAGGCCAGAGGGACCGAGCGTAGCTGGACACGCACTCACGTCTCTGGAGAATTGTTAGCGTGCCAGCCGAGTCTAAAGTAGCAGGGCTGGTTACTCACCAGCGAAACATCATCACGTCCCTTCCACATCCCCCTGAAGTCTGCAGCAGCGTGACCGGCTGTTGGCTAATGCAGTGTGTATGTGTCCACGGTGACACACAGCTCGCCGTGCGCACACACGGATGAGTACGTAGTGTTGCCATGGCAGCAAGTGGGAGCTCTTTAGGAGCGAAGGCGTTGCCTCTGGCTGTTTCAGCGCTGCTCTTTTCTCTCCTGCTGTTGATCTCGCTATTCTCAACGCTCGTCCACTCTGCCTCCTCACCCTCTCGCAGCGGGTGTTCACGTTTTTAATGACATCTGTTCCTTGTTAAATACTCTTTGACGTGTACGAGCTATAAATAGTGCATACCTTGTAGGGCTGCACTTTGTAGTGTATCTTTTTTTATTCTTTTATTTTTTATTGTCCTCATGGTGTCAGCTTGAACAATAAACACATTAAGAAAGCTTTCAATATTGCAGTCAAGAGAATACTTTAGAAAACTTCACATTCAAATGTTACAAGCATTTTATTTGTATTGGTCCCTTTTGTGTTTGGTTAAATTGGTACAATAAAAAAAAGTAGGAATTAATTTCCTTATTTTTCATTCAACAAATAGTGAGTTATGTTTTAACACTATTTTGGAAGCAGCATCAAGGCAGAACTGAAACACATTAATATCAGTTTATTTTTGCAAGTGATATCGTTATCGCGTATTTTCCTCATATTGTGCAGACCTGATATCGAGATGCACGCCTTCATTTTAACTTCCCAAACATTCTCCCTCCTTTCTCTCACTCGTCACCTTTTCTTTTGCATCATGACGCAATGCCTTTGCTGTTCATCTTCAAGTCTGATCAAGACTGCCTGCATGTCTGCAACACTCCTACTTATGTGTACTCCCTAGGCCCTCCTTTCCACTTCCCATGAGTAGAGACATGAATGATACAAACCCTTCTGACACATGCACACTTACATGCTCACTTCCTTCTTACGGAACAGACTGGCTCACTTTTGCGTTCTGCATGAGTTTTTGTCTGTGCCTCATTTGCTGATTCACTGCTAGGTCAGATGGAAGGAGAGCAAAAAATAACTTTATAAATAATTTCCTCCTTTAGCCACTTAATGATACATGATTTGGCTAGATCCATGTATTATAAAATGTAGACTTTGATCTGGTTAATCATTAATAGTACAAAGTTAGTGAGCCTAATGCAGCCAACTATGATTTTAAAATTCTCCCTCTATCTTTTCAGCCAGGCTCTTTCCTCATTCTTAAACAGTTTAGATTCCTCCGTTTGGCAGTTAATCTGTTGTGCACACACGCACAAAAGCGCGTATAAACACACACACACCTTTCCCCGGGATCCGCCTCCAGACCTCATGCATGCACTTACGTTTTCACTTTGACAGTCATTACTTGAGCGGCAACGCACACAGGAAGTGTTGCACATTGCTCCTACAGCATGCAGCAAGAGCGAAAGCTCTGAGAAGGGCTCACACAGGTATCGTACCACCACTTTACCTCACTTTACAGTACTTTAATATTTCACTTGTAGCATTAATACTTGCTTGGGCTATAAGTAGTATCTCCAAACTTCTGTACTTGTTTTCTGGGTTAGGGTAAGAAAACCTGGGCAGTTTCAAAAATGCAGAAATGCTGCATGGCCTGTTCAGAGTTGCCGTAGTCAGTTAGTCTTTTGTACCTATCCTACCCCGTATACCTCAGGCTGTCCAGTATGCTTAGTAAGCTTTTCATCATGTTCTTTACCTTGTTTATGGAAGCTTATTGGCAGTATCCCTGACACATTTTATTGCGTAAGGTGTACTTTTAGTGTTGAGTGATAGGCATACTAAAGAAGGAAACAAGCTTAACAGCTGTCACGTTTACCTACAATCCTTGGTTTTCATTTGTGTCTGATCTTAGAACAGTTTTCTGTACAATACTATGTGAAACGAGGAGAATCCAGTGATGTTTTACAGTCTTGAGCCATTAACACATGTGAATATCTGACAGTCACATGAAGAGCTACCGCACCTTGCCTTTAAACTCCTTGCATGGTGCTTGTCCTGTAGTGTTTCCCGCTCTTCCCTTTTTATTCCCTCTTCATGCCGGACTTTGTTGTCTCATGCCACCCGTTTTTGCCAGTTCCACTTCCCTCTTCCTCTATAGCCAACTGAAGAATAGTTTAATGGTGTCAAAGTAAGGGTGGGTTGGGTCTGAAACGGCCAAACAGGCTTACTCCTCAACTGCATTGTTATCCTGTTGAAAGTGGATCTACTGGTTTGGTGTGATGGCTATGCGTTTTTTGTTTTGTGTGAGTCTGAGACAGCTAATTTATAATGACATGTTTGTTATGTGGTTTCAACGGATGAACCACAAATCACTTTGACATGCAGTATTGGTAGAATTTGTCGGGTCTACATTTCTGTCTGACCAAGATGACAGTATGCACAGCCAGTCATACAAGAAGTACTCAGATCTATTGCCTAAGTAAAAGTACCTGCTTATCCCTGCATTCCAATTCCAAATTAAGTAAAACTGCTGGGACAATGTACTTAAAACAAAAGAAAAAGATCTCTCAGTACTAACTATGTTGAAACATTTCCCTTTTATCAGATATATGGTAATATATGATAAAAGAGAGTTCTGCCATGCATGTGTCTTATTTTTTCTCTACACTCTTATCTTTGCGCTTTATAAAGAGCAGATTGTTTTACCTCTTAAGGTTATTTACTTGAAACCATCTTAAAAGAGGAGGACATGTTTGTCAAATCCAGTAACTATAGCTGTTCATCTAACAATGTGACAAGTAGAGCAATATACAATATCCACCCATCTTATGGAATACAGAAGTAAACAATAGCATGATATGGAAATACTTAAGTAATGTATACATCGTAATTGTACATAAGTCAATTATTTGAGTAAATGTACTTCTCACCACTTTGTGTGCATTGGCCTGCTGCCCCAGGCCCCCTGACAGTGGTACTGTTTAAAGCATCCATATTCTCCCCACTCTGCTGCTGTGTCACCAGCAGTAGCTACACTGCTTCCCTGCTAAGCACACTGACGCACACACACTTCCTCACACTGTTAGAGGGAAACAATTACTCTATGTAACCTTGTTATCTGAGTTTTTCAGTGTACAGTAATGTGCCCTCTTTGTTTGTTTTGCTGCTCAGCAGACCAGAATCGGTGGAGGCTAGCCCTGTGGTGGTGGAAAAGTCCAGCTACCCACACCAGATCTACAGCAGCTCTCAGCATTCCCACAGTTACATTGGCCTGCCTTACGCTGTGAGTACACACACTGTTCTTCACCATGTGACAAATGACCTATACACCTTGAGCCCTATAAAATAATCATATATCTCCAACGGTCTTTTCAAAGGATTTTATTGTGAAGCATTATTTCAAAAGATAACAAAACATGTTATTGCCCTGCTTTCTTTCGTATAAAGAAACATGAGTCAAAAGACACAAGAGAAACCCTTTTTTTATATAAAAATAAAGAAATCTAGGAATTCTTTTTAAAATAAAAAATATGGTAAACATTAGATGTGACAGCATTGAAGTGAAGGTCATATTTTTGACTCAAAAAACTCAAACACATTCAATCACTACTTTAAGAATGTGTGATCTGTTATACTGTAATAATTCATGAAAAAAGAAAGTAAACTAATCTGTAGTTGTAGTCCAACATGAAATAGTTTTCCTTTCCCATATTCCTGGGAATCAGCAGTTGATACTATTTGAACCCCATCAGGGTTGAAGTTCTTTCACCCTCACAAAAATGCCTGTACTACTAAACTAAACAGTCTCTTACCTATATCTCAAGACACTTAATCTTCCCTCCTTCCATCAGGACCATAACTATGGGGCACGGCCCCCACCCACTCCACCGGCCTCCCCTCCCCCCTCCATGTTGATCCGACAAGGAGAGGGGGGGTTGTTTGTTCCAGGGGGCCAGGACGAAGCATCCAGGGGCACCACGCTCAGCACCTCAGAGGATGGCAGCTACGGGGCTGACATCACCCGCTGCATCTGTGGCTTCACCCACGATGATGGCTACATGATCTGCTGTGACAAGTGCAGGTAAGATACAGGATCAAGATCTGAATAGGATTCACACATATGTCCCTCCTGTGGCCCTCGCTTTCCACACCATTGATTTAATATTTTTTTGCTTTTCATTTTTAGTGCATGGCAGCATATAGACTGCATGGGCATCGACAGGCAGAACATTCCTGAGACCTACCTGTGTGAACGCTGCCAACCACGACACCTGGACAGAGAGAGGGCCATCCTGCTGCAGACCAGGAAACGGGAATGTTTGTCTGGTAAGCAAAATTGCACAGATGGATACAAAGCCCCTAGTCCTCAACTTATTCGTTTTGGTTAACCTTTTGAAAAATCAACAAAGTTACTGAGTATGGACACAACGTTTGGTTAAATTTGGTTAAAAGTATGTTGTTTTTTCCTAGCTGCATCCCCCGCTGTAACTTGCAATGTTGTACAAAGTCTTAAAGGTTTGGAAAACTGTCAAGACAATCTGTTTTTTTTTCAAGATTATAAATATGCTTTAATTTGCATATATATTTTAAAATGCTTGATTTTCAAAATGTTCCATGTTTTATCTGAAAAATAAAGCATATCAAATCAAATTCACTCACCAGTCTGGAAGAATTATCTCAGAAAACAGTATTTTTTTATTAGTGGAAATGGCTGAATGCCATTCTCTAGAGTCTGTACAAACCCCAACATGTTGAGGCATTAGAAGTTTTACTATAACAGCTATTCGATATACCTTTTACTTCTGCTTTTATGGGCCTCCCTGCTGCTGCTGTTAATGGCGTCAGTGAGCGAGTAGGTTGGAGGTGATGTTAGGATGCATTGTCCTCCCCCTGCAGCCTGTCAGCCCCAGCCTGGGACACACTGACACCTGCTGGACAAGAAGCAAACTCCTGCAGCAGCTCTAGCTTTTTATAGCGTTGTTCACTTCTCTCTCCTAATAACTCATATTTGCTCATTCAGATGGGGACACCAGTGCTACAGAGAGTGGAGATGAAGTTCCCCTAGAGCTCTACTCCACCTTCCAACACACACCTACCAGCATCACTCTCACCACTGGGCGCCTTGGCAATAGGCAGCCTGATAAAAAACGCAAAAAGAGTGGTGACAAAGAGCCTCCAGCTTCCTCTGCCCGAGCTAAAAAGGTCAGATTCGACTTTGAATTGGTAATGAACCCATTTAACAAGCATAATATATTCTATTCTTGAATCTCAGTTTGTATTAAATTCCTTTACTTCTCCGACAGGCCTTCCGAGAAGGATCCAGAAAGTCCTCCAGAGTAAAGGTAACCTCACAGAATAAAACCCCTCACTGTTAAGATTGCTGTTGTTGTCCTCTGTGTGAACCAACCACTGTAATGTTGTTTTTTCTCAGGGTGCAGCTCCAGAGCAGGAGCCGACCGAGCACCCGTCTCTGTGGGAGAACAAGATCAAAACGTGGATGGAGCGCTACGAGGAGGCCAGCAGCAATCAGTACAGTGAGGACGTCCAGGACCTGCTGCGTGTTAAAGAGCAAGGCGACGGCAAGAGCCTGGCATACAACACGCACCCTGCCTCTTTCAAACCGCCTGTGGAGGTATGAACGGTTTGCAGTCTGTACAGTAACATTTCCAAAACGATCCACCCTTAAAAGAATGTGGAGTCATTTGATGTGCCTGCCCCTGATCTGTGCTAATGGCTGACTGTCTCTCTCTTACAGAGTCAAATTCAGAAAAACAAGAAAATCCTCAAGGCGGTGCGAGACTTGGCCCCAGACTCCCTCATCATCGAGTACAGGGGGAAGTTCATGCTTCGACAGCAGTTTGAGGCCAACGGATACTTCTTCAAGAGGTCAGGAGACTTGTCACTTATCACAGGGATCTCTCCTTGAAGAATGATAATAGATTACTGCTGTATTTTTGAATGCGTTTCCAACAAATGAAGCACTATTAAGGGCTATGGCCACTTGTGCTTTTGATTTCAATGAGTAACATTCACGCATTTCCTCTTTCAGGCCATACCCCTTTGTTTTGTTTTATTCAAAATTTGATGGACTGGAGATGTGTGTGGACGCTCGCAGCTTCGGCAATGAGGCACGCTTCATCCGTCGCTCCTGCACCCCCAATTCTGAAGTAAGTAAAGATTCTTTTAAAAGTGAGCTCTTATGCATAGTTACATCACTCCTATTTATCATGTTTTTTTCAACCTCCCCCAGGTGCGGCACGTCATTGAGGATGGGATGCTGCATCTGTACATCTACTCATTGAGGCCTATCATCAAAGGCACAGAGATCACCATTGGTTTTGATTACGACTATTGCAACTGGTGAGTTTAAAAGAATAAACCTTGGCAAGTAGCATGATGATCAAATGTCGCCTTATAACTTCATATTTGTTCTTTTTCTTTTCTCTTATAGTAAATACAAGGTAGACTGTGCCTGTGTGAAGGGGAACCAGGAGTGCCCGGTGCTCAAGCACAACCTCGAGCCCACAGAGAACCTGGGCTCTGGAGGCCGGCGCCGAGGGAGTCGCAAGGACAGAGAGACGGTCCGGGACGACCTGGGCCAGAACCAGAACATGGGTTTGGACGGCGAGGGGAAGAGCAAGAGCGTATGTGACGGCAAACAAAGGAAACTCTCTCCTCTCCGCCTCTCCATCTCCAACAACCAGGCAAGATTGCACTTTTTAAGAACATCACACTGATGCACCCAGTTTCATCCTTTTTGAACACTTGACTGTTTACATAACTACATAACACAACTGTTAAAAAGGCATATTTATTGTTTATTTACGTTGGCCCTTGTGGTCCATGCATGTCATTTAGTTTGGTCTTTGTTGAATGTTATTTGCATGTGTTTTCCATTCCTAGTCCCTCTACATCCTCTTTAGTTCCCTCTTGTTCTCATCATCCCTTTATTCATTCACTTCTGCCCCCACCAACTAATTACTTTTACAACATAGTTCAGATTCATTGCACAAGACACCTTTATGCCACTTGTCTGGCAGAGATGTGTCGCATTGTAAGACCCTTTTGTGCAATGCACTCTAAGAATGGCGTTTGTCTTGGATGTGTTAACAGCAACAGAAATTCTCCTCTGTCGTAGTTCCATAAAAGGAATGTTCCCTTGACCAAGCCAAATTGTTACAGATTGGTTTCTTTCAGCAGCTTGAAATCAGAGAGATGGTGTTAGTGCAAAGTGTTTATGTATACTATGAGACTGTGGTTTAGACATCCAGACGTTGTAATGAGTAGAGGTGAGATGATATGTCCCAACTGAGGAGAAAACTATTACTTTATTCATATCTATCACAATTATGTTGATAATGAATGGTTAACTAATCTAAAACACATCATAGCAACTGTTCCACTGTGAGCACACCATGCTGTACCTGCACCCTCTTCCAGAACACACCTTGTGGCAGCTAACATAATAGTGATAGATATGAATAAAGTAATAGTTTTCTCCTCAGTTGGGACATATCATCTCACCTCTACTCATTACAACGTCTGGATGTCTAAACCACAGTCTCATAGTATACATAAACACTTTGCACTAACACCATCTCTCTGATTTCAAGCTGCTGAAAGAAACCAATCTGTAACAATTTGGCTTGGTCAAGGGAACATTCCTTTTATGGAACTACGACAGAGGAGAATTTCTGTTGCTGTTAACACATCCAAGACAAACGCCATTCTTAGAGTGCATTGCACAAAAGGGTCTTACAATGCGACACATCTCTGCCAGACAAGTGGCATAAAGGTGTCTTGTGCAATGAATCTGAACTATGTCTGGAAGAGGGTGCAGGTACAGCATGGTGTGCTCACAGTGGAACAGTTGCTATGATGTGTTTTAGATTAGTTAACCATTCATTATCAACATAATTAGACCAATGCCAAGTTTAAAGCAGTTACTTTAACGATATATATTACAGGTTAGCACCTACCCCTCCTTCCTCACCCCCCCTTCCTTCCTTCCTTCCTTCCTTCACTCTAACCTGTCTCCCTATAGTCTGTAGCCAGACTGACTGAACAGCCATGATAAAGCGCCATGCCCCCCTCTCCCCTCCTCTTACAGGATCCTGAGTTATATGAGGATCTAGAAGACAAAACCTCCGTTAGCAATGAAGTAGAGATGGAATCAGAGGAGCAGATTGCAGACAGGAGGAGGAAAATGGTAAGTGTGCTATGCTAGGGGGCTACAATCTTTTTTTTTTGTTGCCATGCAGCCACCTAGCAGAAAGAGTTCAAATAAATATAATACTGTCCCCTGTTGCTCTGGGTGTGGACCGAACTGTTTTTCTGCTGTGGGGGCTGGGGCTCTTATAGGAGCAGCTGCTACCCCCCTTCCATGAATCTCCCCTCGGCTTCATCACTTATCTGCTGCTAGTGCTCACGCCTCCGTCAATGCCCCTGTTGTTGTTTTCCTCAGTCCTATTGTTTTTGTTTGTTCCTCCCTTCTGCAGCTTTGCTCGTCGCCTTCTTCACAGTACAGAGGCTTTAAGCTGGTCTGCTATTCACTTCTCGCATTTTTTGGCTTTTATTCTCCAGCATATTGAGAAATGAATGCGCCTTTAGTGTCACACGCTAAGGCCATCTCATGTCAGTGGAAACAAACCAGTATGTTGTGTCGTCATGCAAACTGCCACTGGCCCCCAGGGTTCATTAGTAGTAGAAGCACCGCTCGACTCCCACCTTCATTGCGGTTTGAAGTTCTGGAATGGGCCAATTACTTGTTCAACCAGTGTTTTTCTTGCCAAACAGCCGTATGTCCCTGAGAGATGAGATAAAACACTCATGCAAACAGGCGAGCACTACCCACACACTCTGGAAATTACCCCGCAGTAAGCTTCATTTCACACAGTGGACCCAAGGTGTAAAGTGCTGACTCATCTTTGGCCAACATACAGCTTTGCTAATCGGCTAAAAAGGGATAGATAGTGGAAGAGAGGGAGAGGGGAGGGGCTGCAGAGGGTAGAGCCTTGTTGCCAGGGCCATATTGACTTTGGGAGATCCAATAGGCTGGTAACTATGGAATGTGGCCCAGGAGAGAGCTCAGCCGCTGGATCAGAGAAGTGTGTGTTCACAAACTGACGATCATAAAGCGCAGTTTATGCATGTGGGTGTTATAAATCTGTTCCGCAACAAGGTGCGTGGGAGATAAGGTTGTTGTGAGCTGGCCTGATATTTAGTCTACCTAAACAGAAGCCTCCATTGTTTAAAAGGTCCTCCTAGTTTGCCTGCTGGATTATGGCCCAAAGATCATGATTATTTATTGGAATTGGCAATAAAAACACACCGCTCCAGTGCCCACAAAGCCGTCAGTCCTCTCTCACAGTGCTGTGTTCATCACTCGTCCTTAGTTGATATAATATAATAATTTGCCAGTTCTGTTGTGGTCTTAGCTCATTAAAGATGGCAAGTCCAGCAAGCATGTTTCTAGGAATTGCTTAGCATTTGAGCAAGTGTGAAAGGAAGCCATGTGTCCGAGAGAATAGGAAGCTCAACTGCTACCGCTGTGGGTATTGCAGAAATTAATATTGAAAGTGTTTTCAAATATTCAAAATTATTGAAAAATCTATCATTTTGACAAAATGATAAGAAGATTAACCAAAGGTTCCTCTCCTTGGACTGTGGGAGGAAACCAAATCACGTGGAGGGACCCCCGCAGGGAGAACAGGAGAATGCACAGAAAAGCCCCAGGTTCGTAGGTTGCTGAGTCGACAGTGCTAACCACTGCAGCAACGCCTGTTGTTTTCGGTGATTGGGGCACGTGTGGTGTTGTTTCTTTGCTGCAAACCAATACACAACTTTTGGCCAAATTTGAGTCCTTTGTGCACGTGTTGTTTGTTCTTCTTTCCTAGACTGTACAAGAACAAGCATATTTTCTGATTGATTGATGGGTCTTAACATCCGACGAATTGTGAGACTTAGAAGCTTAAATGTATCCGCAGGTGTGTTTGTATCCAAAGCTTCCAATAGGATGTCCCAGAGTGTGATTCAGGGCAATGGTTTTGGACCAAGACCAGTTTATTACCAAGTTTTCCTATTTCCCTCATGATTGTCAAATTTCTTCAGACAGCCGCAGAGTGTAAAGTGTACTTACCAAGCTTGTTCTGTAATATGATATCACAAAGAGTTTGTTTTTAAGGATGTAAAAACCCTGAGGTTGCTGCTGCAGGCGTGAACAGCAATCAAAGAAAACCATTAGCTATTTGAGAAAACCCTATGTTTAGATGACGTTAGGAATAATTTAAAACACTTGGCAGTTTTGGGGTTTCATGCATGCTTTCCTGAGACCTATATAGTTACCTGTATTCTCTGTACAAAGATATTACTAAGTCCAATACCTACAGTACCTGTCGCAGGCCTATTGTGTACCACCAGAAGATGAGGGAGCATACGTCTAGCCCTGTCCAGTGTTTGTGAAGCCTTGTTTAGGGGGGACGTGTCTCTTCTAAACTGGGCTGTTTTTGATTGAACATTCAGGCCAACCCAGCGGAGCAGTCCCATCTCCCTGTCGGGGCGGCTGCCAGCTGGATAGGACTGAAACACAAGGAGGTAAACTTGAACCATTCATAGCCAACTCTTCTCCACCCATCTAACAGCCTCCCCACCCCCAAATCTCCCCAAGGTGACTGACTTAACAAGCGTCTTTACAGAAACCTGTCTTCAGCCTGATCTCTCAGAAATATGTCTTTGCAGTATGTGTTCTGGTACAAATATATTTTAGGGGTGTGCTGACTGGAGATGGGGCTCCTGGTTTGTTTTGGTGGAGGTAGAGGTGGGCTTATTTGTGGCTAGGGTTGCAAAGGGGCGGAAAGTTTCCGGGAAATTTCCAGAAAGTTTCCATGGGAAGTTAAGCTGGGGAATTTTGGAAATATTCGATGCAAAATTAAACAAACATTGTTTTTTAAGTAGAACAGAACACATTTTAATTAATTTATTGAACAATTATTTGTTTCATTGAAAAACGAAAACAGGAATGTTGAGTTAAAAAAATGCACCCCCGTCCAAAAATCCCCACAAAGTCCCATTCAAAATGTTACATGAAAAGAGCCCTTCTCCCTCCAAAAAGTCCCATTTAAACATGCAAATCTTCCTTCAGGCAATCCTCTGCATTTTTGCTAAACCCTTCCAGTCTTTGGGCTCTTCCTGGGCCTCATCAACATCCAACTCTGAGTCTTCCTCTTCAGTGTCACTGTCCAGCCTGGTTGAGGATGGCTCCGTGTCAGGCTCAGAGAGCCTTAGGTTTACCTGAATGCCAACCAGTTTTTCCACCCTCACATTTGTGAGCCTGTTGCGAACCTTTGTGTGGTCTCAATAGCCATGCAGTAAGCAGTGTGCTATGGCATGGATATTCAAGTGTACTTGAATGGTTTGTTTTAGTCAAGATTATGCTAAAATATACTTTCCCCAACTATATTTAAGTTCCCTATGAAGAGCCAACCTTCAATTTTGAAAATTCCCAGTTTATTCCCATAAATTCCCGTTTATTCCCTTGGAAAGTTTCCATCTTTGAAAATTCCCGGAATTTTGCAACCCTGTTTATGGCACAAACATGCATATAGGAACACATAAGACATGCAACATCCTGGTTTGTCATTGTTAAATGTTAAGCGCTATGTCCGTTAAGGTTCAGCAAAGCTTCATAGTTTAACTACATTCATTTATTTTCCTGTTGCTCCTGCCTGGACTTCTTTCCTTTTGAGTTTTTCTTATTGTGAAAGCAAGGGGTAACCTTCTTTCACTCTGCACAGCTAGACCGGCTTTTGCTGTGCAGCACACATTACCAGTTGTATCGCTACCTCAGGTCCTCTGTGGGAGAGAAGTACCTTATGGATGATGAATGTGTCTGCTTCCTCTTACCCTTCTCTGAACCCCACGTTTATGTCTCTGCAGACGCGAGAAGAGAGGAAGATGGAGGCCATCCTGCAAGCCTTTGCGCGAATGGAGAAGAGGGAGAAACGCAGAGAGCAGGCCCTGGAGAGAATCGGCACGGTCAAGCCGGAGCTCGGGGGTCGCAGTGACATCAAGGAGGAGCCTCCAGCCACACCGGAGATGGCAGATTCTCCAGCTTTCATGCAGGTGAGAACATGGAGACACAAAGACACTCCTGTTATGTGTTCTTTTGAATACTTTATCATCACACTGCAGAAATCTGGAGAGTATAAAGTCATATCACTTTATGAGAGAAAGTAAATCAGCTTTTCAACTTCTGTTAATAGATGTATCCAACGTTTGCATTATTTTGAATCAATATAAATACTCATACTTTCTCATAGCCACTTCTGGAGGTCAAGGAGGAGCCAGGGTTAAAGCCAGCCAAGGTCAAAAGCTCGAGGAACAGGAAAAGTTTTTCAAGGAACCGAACACACATTGGCCAGCAGCGCCGGCGAACTCGCACCATCAGCACCTGTTCGGACTTGGCACCTGGCTCTCCAACCGAGTCTTTGGAGCCTATGTCCAACGAAGGCATGGAAGGAGAGATGCCCTCTGCACCGGAGCCAGAGTCCCTTCCAGCCGAAGCACCGGACAGCAGCCCTCCACACAGCAGCTCACCTGCACCCGACAGACACCGCATGGGGGGCAAGAACTTCAAATCTAAGAAGGTACGGCCATGGTTACACTTCTACACGAGCAACAGCAATGACTCTTTTGTTTTGTCTTGCATCACAACTTTGTTTATTCAATTGATGTACTATGAACCCAAAAATACTTTCAATAGTTTATTTGTTTTGTATAATATGTACATGAGTCAAACACATTACATTTATGGGAAACCCAACCCCTGATGGAGTTATTTTAAACATTTGTATCAAACTCTTTTATCCAACAGCACTTTGTAAGTGAGTGGGTGGGAGAGAAGCAGCAGGAGTGTGGGGCACGAACCCCAGAGCCGGCCCCTGAGAGGCCGCTGAGAATAAGCAGCGACCCTGAAGTACTCGCCACGCAGCTCAACGCCCTGCCAGGCATGGCATGCTCTCCGCAGGTCTACAGCACGCCCAAACACTACGTCCGCTTCTCGTCCCCGTTCCTGGCCAACCGCAGCCCCACCACTCCCGGAGTCCCAACTGGGAGACGGCGTTCCAGGGAACTGCCTGAAACACCGCCAACCACTGGCTCCTGCAAGAAGGTACGGAACACCGATTGAGAAATATTTGGATCTGATACCCATTTAAGAAATGTTTATCTGCCCAAATCATATGGATCTATCCTTTGATTATTAGTGATCCATCATTAGCTTTGTCAATCTGAATTTAAAACATGATATGAATGAAAAAGTTCAAGTGTGGTAAATATGAAGAAATGTCACTCAGTCTTCAGCTAGACCTACCCCTGTGATTTTACGTGCTTACATTTTTATGCTTTTTGACACAACTTCAGACAATAGCAAATACAATTTAAAAAAAGGTCTGTCGTAAGGCATTTTGAACATTGAATTTACCCAAAGCAACAGTATCTCTAAATCATCTCTTTAACCAAATCTCATACATAGGCTTATTTATGTCTTCTGCTTCTCACTGAGCCTCAACTGAAACTGAACCTGTTCTCTTCCTCACAGCGATGGTTGAAGCAGGCTCTGGAGGAGGAGGGCTCCCCCAGCCCGGCCAGAGGGCCCAGTCTCCTCATGCCCTGTGAGGGTCCTCTCAGCCCCTCCATTAACGGAGACTCTGACAGTCCCCTACCTTACAATGGCACCTGCTTACTACCGGGTATGAAGCCAGCACCAAGTCTAACTTTTTGACAGTTAAAATGTAACTTTATTGAATGAATGTTCAGTTAAATAACACACTAAATGTCTTCCTACAGAGTTGCCGACTCCTTTGAAAAAGCGGCGGTTGAGTCCGTTAGATGCCTGCATGTCGGAGAGCTCGACTCCCTACGGCTCCCCTTGTGCCACGCCCACCAGGGCAGAACAACTGGAGGCACCCGTCACCCCCATCTTACTGGCTACCCCACCACGTCCCCGAACAGAGGAGCCGAGTACAGAACCCCTGCCCAGTACCCCAACACAGACATTTAATGCTCTTCAGGAGGTAAGGCTCCCCTTGAAGAAACCCCTTTGATGTTTCACGTGTGTTTGAGGAGCAAAATAACTGATGACTGAAGTTTGTTCTTGTTACACAGAGTGACTCTTCAGTGGAAAGCTCCCCCGAGGTCAGCCGGAAACCCAGTGTGCAAGAGGTGAGTGAATGACGGTTTGAGGATTGAATTGTTCAACGGGTCAACAATTTCATTAGTATTTCCAACGCAACTTGATTGATACAACGCAACTTGATTGATACAACGCAACTTGATTGATACAACGCAATTCCTTCATTGTGGCTGTCCCCTGACATTTCTTCCTCCCTCCTCCCCTAGGCCGATCGTCCTCCTTCGTTGGTCTCCTCTCCCTCTGCTAGGACTCACAGTACAGACGGACTCCCAGCAGAAACCAAGGTGTCGGTTCCTGAGAGTCCCCAGCCTCCTGCTGCTGAGCCTGTGGACTGTGGAGAGGACAGGGCAGATGGTGTGGTTGTCGAGGGCAGCAGTGATGCTTCCTCATCTGCAGAAACATGTGCTTCCTCTTCTATCTTATGGATAAAAAGCCCAGAGAGAGTCACGACTGGACCAGCTGGCCTGAACTTCTCTCCAGTCAACTCGAACTTAAGGGACCTCACCCCCTCTCACACCCTGGAGCCTCTGGTGACTCTTTTCAGGCCTGAGGCTGCAGCTGGGGCTGTAGCAGGGCCCGCAGCAGCAGCAGCAGCAGCAGCTGTGTCATTGGTTGTCTCTCAGACACCCTTCATTGAGGGCCAGGGGCCGCTCTTTTACCCCTGCATGGAGGAGGGAAGCGCACTCGGCTTCTCACGCTCACTGAACGGGGACGGCTCTGGTGAGGCGGGGGGGTCATCACAGAACCCCCCACAGAAGAAAAAGGTGAGTTGGCACCATAGACTGTATATATAAATGGACGTAGTGTCTGTGACGTCACCCATAGGATTCTGCAGAGTTGCCGAGAAGCCCTTAGTAGGCGGAGTCGGCCACTAACGGCTCGACAGCGACGTCAGAGTCTAATCCCGCCTGCTCCAAATAAGGGCAAAGAGGCGGAGCCGAGGCGGGACCTGCTGCCTCCGAACTGGAAGTAAACAGAGCTAGCTCAGGCTAAGAAGCTAAGCTAACATGAAATACATGCATACCAAGTTACTGCTAACAGTGTAGTTCCCCTATATAAACGTTACATTCATAATGAAATGAGACAATCTGCAAGAGAATTAGCTATATTTTGTTATTCTTAATGCTTGTCATTCACACGTTAAGAAAAGACGGACTCCACCGCCCGGACCTAACGGAGCCGCAGTGGGCTAGCTCCGGGACGCCGGCTGGAGCTAGCCCCCTGCGGCTCCGTTTGCTCCGGCGGCCACCACATGGATAATTGGGTCCCCTATTAACATTTGCTCCCGTTTAGCATTATGGGCATCATAGCCATAGACTATAAAAGTCTTACCCAAGGCTGAATCATAAACTAAAATGTATATGTATGTCATACCTGCCAACCCTACCGATTTGGGCGGTAGTCTACCGCTTTTGACATGTTTCTACCGCCTACCGACTTAGCTGGCTTTCCCTACCGATTTAAAATCTTCCCAAGCTATAACGAATAAAAATGACACTCCATATACACTGGACTCGACTTTTGGTGGACACCGTTTGCAGCCTGATCGCATCATACAAACAGTAGTCCTCTATGTTCTCATTCATAACACTCCGTTCGATGTCTCACTATGGGATGAGCCTCAACGCGTATGCAAACAGAAGCCTCAATCTCATTACGCCAATCCTGATTGGCTGGGGATCTTGACGTCCACGTCAGGGAATCCACCCACCCTATAAGTAGCTTGCGCTACGACGCAGCGTCTTTCAAACACCTCTTCTCGCTTCAGAGCACATCTCGAATTATCAGTAGCCGGGCTAGCTTAGCAGTCCAAAGACTGAACCCAAAGCTAACATTCGTTCGACGGGCGCTTGCCGGTTACTTTTTTGCTTTGCAAGCAGACTGAACAATATTAACACACCAGTTAATATTGTAATCTGCCTCGCCGTTTCTTTCTTTCGAAATTACGGTGAGGTTTGATTTTTTCTTCAAGCTAGTAACATACCTGATGCTAGCTTTTCTTACCTCCACACCGACACCACGGTAGCGAGGACATACTCTTCTCTCTCTCACACCAGAGGAGACGGAGATAAAAGAAACATATTAACACACCCAGTTAATATTTTTTAAACTCGACATCGCTTATGCATCATATAAGCGGCTATACTTCAGGTGTTCGCTAGTATCACTCGTAGAATGTTATTATAATAGCTTTGATAGGGATCTGCTTTCGCGCTCTACATTTTTATGGGACAACCATTAAGAGCGGGGACTAACTAGGAAATAGTAATTCAACGATGTATGACCTCCGGATATCGACGTTGTACCGACCGATGGGTCCAACTTGGGACGCTGTGACCGCGTATGTGGGTATTTTGTTTTTTTCGGCGGCGTCTGGTATTTTGTTGTCAATCCGCCGACGCACGTAAGGTGTTAGGGCAGATGGTACGAGTGCGGAATAACTCCTCTCGCACGGCGATGATTTTCTCCCCATTCTGGCTGTCAGAGACAAAATGATTATAGTCATTTAATAACAAAGAATAAAGAGTAAAAAGTAATCTGTATTCTGCGGTAACGGCGAAGTTCGGACCTTGTCTTCCCTTTTACTAAATAATCTCTGTTATTACTATTGTACACAAACTACAGCTGGGAGTTTGCGCGTCGCCATTGAGCGACAGCAAACGACTTAGTATCAGTAAAGGGAATACCCCTTTGAACTCCTACTTGCAAGACCGTTAGTGAGCCCCCGCCCTCTTACCCCTTACTCCCGTGGGCTTTGTGTACTTTAGGTAATTATAGTCACTTTGACTGGTTAATGGGTCTGCTAAGCGAGGACCGTCTGATCCTACCTGTCGGCCTTGAAGGCTTCCTTCTCCTCTCTCTCCGCGCAGTCCCGGTCGTCTGGTCGAAGAGAAGAGCGACCACCCTTCTACTTTTTGTGTGACCCAGCCAGTGGACTTCGTAACTCGCTTGCACGGCCTGTCTCTCAAAAACGGTCGAGTAGGAGGTGACGTGAGATCACGACCCCGACCTCCTTGGAGCCGCTGGCCGACACCAGAGACGCGAGCGAGTAGTCATAGAACGCGCCCGTCCTGCACTCCGTCGAACCACTCCTCGGACGGCGGCTCCGTTTTGCTCGCCTTTCTTGATAACTGGTCCTACCGCCGACCGTGGAAGTAGCCGTCCCTCTGTCTCTGGACCTGCTCGGAGCAGTAAGGAAGAAAAATAATAAGGGTAGTATTCTTGATTGTAGCTTCGCTCTCACCTCGTTTTAGAAGCTCTTGCCTTGTATCCGTAGTCAGGTCTCTGAGGAGATAATAATGTTAGGCGCAAACGTTCTTCCTATGTATCATCGTCGGTCGCTGAGAACTCGGTGGAACGCGAGAGTAGGCTTCATTGGTCTGTCGTGTCTAGTATTTAGTGTTTCTACGTGTACTTATACGGTATCTCGGTACTCTGACGGGCATTCTTATAGGATTTTTGACCTCCGTTTTACAAGTGTCACTAGCGTGATATCTCTAGCTTTTAAGCTTCTATGGGTGTGCTCCGGGTGTCACATATATCGAGCTGTCAGAATAGCGTCTTCGAGAGCGTACACACCGCCAGTCGTCGCTCCTGCTTGCAACTCAGGACCTCCTGTCGACTTTCTTTGCCGATAATAGTGCCTGGCTATGATGCGCTGCTAGTTAGCGTATGCTGACTTTTGCCAGCCGGAGATACGGGGCGCGAGTCGGGCCAGCCCCAAGGATGGCGAGCCTTAACGCTTCGGTTGGGGGGTGGGAAGCACAACCTTTCCGACGCCGATTATATTCGGTCCAAGACCCGCCAGTACTGCCTCGTCTTGCGAGAGCTAATGGGTCGTGTCAAGTCTTCTCTGCTCTCTAGGGTGACCTAAATCCCTCGGAACAGACGACTTTTACGCCGCTCGTTAGATGTTATATCTCTTTTGGTCTGTGAGCAGGTCAGTTATGAGGGCTGCTCTACTCCTCGACGGAGAACAGGAGTACGGCGAATCCCCTAACGAGGAGAGCATCCACTCTAAGGACCTCCTAAAGGAACCGGTTGAGAGTCCGGTGATATCTACGAGGTCGTGACCTGCGGTCGCGCAACTTGGCCGGACGCTCATGATAATGGTATCCGGGTCCTCGTTTCCGACCAGCTAGCGAAAGCGGCCTTTCTCTCGCCTGTACGAGGTGCGTTTCTGATAATACTCGGTACTCTTTTGGCTTGTCTTGTGCTATTCTTTACATAGGAGAGTCGCACTGGAGTACTTTGCGTGGGCTCACCTTGTCTTCTCACTTGATTTGTCTCTCGTATGGAGAAGGCAAGGAGGTATATACGATGGAGGTCCTGTAGGACGCCGCCTGGTACCACTCCAGGTCAACCCTCGGGGTCGAACTGGTCGGCCCCCGAGCGAGAGTGTCTGGCGGGCGCTTGGAGCATGATACGGCGGGGCTGTGTGCCGTTCTGGATCTTGTGGGTCCGACGGTCCCGAGCCAAGTCGCTGAATGTGTGCGTCGGACGGTGGTCGACAAGTAGATTTTACTGTCGGGTCAGATGACTGTGAGTCGCGTCGACCTGATGTGGTTAGGGGACGCCGCCTTCTGGTGTGGGTTTCTTAGTCAGATAGGCGTAACGGCCGGCCGTCTGATTTCGCCCTGTAGGCTGTCTCCTCTCAGGTTAGGGCTTATTGTTCTGTTCGATCGACCCATCGTATCGGGCAGCGAAGGGCCATACTCCATGGAATTACCACTTCGCCCGTTGCTCATTGTTTGTGTGTCATGTTATTTGGAGCGGACAGTGGCGTCGCCACCAAAGATAGATGAGCTTTAATCGAATTTCATTTGATCTTGGTGACTGCTAAGCATAGAGGTGACGGGGAGTCGTCCGTGCTCTCTGGACCACAGCTCAGACACGATCTCGTAGAATTTCTCGTATGGAACGTCAAAAATAAATGAATAGATGTAAATAACGGGATGGGAGTTTTGGAACGGTATATTTTACTATTGTTTTAGAGTTTTTTCTTAATCTTACGTTTGTCTAATAACTGAGACAAAATAAAGAATGTTTTCTTCTGTTATGTCCGTCCTTAAGTCTGTTCCCTTTTGCCTTTTTATATATCTCTATTCGATTGAATTCTAAATATAAAAATTCCAAGTTAGCATTATGTACCGCAGGAGGGCTTTTGTTAGTGTGTCGTCCCTTGTCGATTAGTGCGAGGAGCTTAGCGTTGGGCGCTCCAAATCACCCCAACGCGACTCATCTCGCCAACACAAAATTCCTGACCATAAAACGCCATCAAAATGTAAGCATCCTGATATTGAGAAAGGTGGGGTTATAACTATTTAGTATGCGCGGCTCGTCGATGAGTTTCACCAATTTATCTCCGTATCTGGCAAATCAACTTTCGTTTATGGTCGGACGAGGATCCTTTTCTTTTTTTGGTCTTTTAAATGTGTTTTTTTTTATGTCTTTTGTGTGTAGCTCCCAGGTCTGTCATCTAATTCTTAGTTATGCGTCTCTTCTCTTGGGCTGATAGGGCGATTGTGCTCTAAGGACCCACCGCTCCAATACTGCATCGTATGTAGGGGTACGTGTACGTTAGTATCTGAGAGGTTGCGAGATACTTGATCTCTTTTACTTGTATTTCTTTGGCATAAATTGTTTATACGTATTGTTGTAGGAGAAAGTATTACTGGCGAGTGAGGTTTTGGGTTGTGGTTCTTTTTTTATGCTGGTTTTTGACATTCTTTCTACGTCGTGTGACTCAGGATGGGGAGCGACTAGTGTAGGATTGGTGTAGTGTTTAAAGTTTTGTGTAGGTAGTATAAGTGGGTATTGGATTTTCATGTCAATGTTATTTAATAGCTTTCCTGTGGGTTCTTGTGGTATTGTCTTTGTTAGGTTTTGGTTGCATTCGTTGCGATTCAGGCATTGTCGGGGTCTATGTGATGAGGAATTCTTGTTTGGACACCACCGACATGACTGTTATGGGTTGATGTGTTTTTGGAGCTTCTTTATCCTTTCACATAGTACGTGTCGAACGTTCCCAACTACTCCTCAGCTCGGCTCGGTCGAGGTCCGCAGAGGGAAACACGAAACAAACAAACAAGGGGGACAGACACAACAAACACACACGTACCACCGACAGTAGGACCGAGGGTCCAAGCTAGGTGAGTGGACGCGTTAGCGACACGGAGGGCTTGGGATGTTGATTGAAAGGTAGTCGTAAATTTTGCTGTATAGTTGCCTCCGAGGTGTTGGAAAGAGCGTCTAGCAGTTCATTAGTCTGGCACTTAGAGCGCAGGGAGGAGCCATGTGTCATCACACCCCAACGTAACTATTGCGCTCTATGCCGACTATGAAACCGCATCAAAGAACTAATTACCTAGTCAATATTGTCAGGGACGGTCTTCAATGATATTAAGTTACGATGAAATTCAATATCGGCTATATACTCGATTGAAATGATAACCACTACACTGCAATCGATTGTAAGACATAGATTGCGCCAGTAGTGGTTCTATCCGACGGGTCAAGGAGGTGACCATAGGAGTGTGGTGCGAGTTAAAAGAGAGGCTACGCAATAAAGAGATTAGGAACGACAGGACGCAGAGAACCTGCGGATAGTCCGAGTTATTAATCATTCCGACAACCAGGCAGTATACGTACAGGCTATAACGTACAGGAGTTGAAGAAGACACAGAAGAACAGCTTTGATCGTAACCCTAGGTACAAATAATATATCAATGTGGCCGGCGAGAGGGGGAACACAGGGGGCACAATGCAGTGGTGCGCCCTCCAGTGCTACGGCTCCGAAAAAATACGCCTACCTTTGAAAGAATGTTTTCGCTGCGGTCTACAGTGACCATCACATATAAAGACATCATAAAAAAACTTTAGATCACATACGTAGGTAAAGATGTGGTATAATAAGTCGTCCACAGAAATTGGACCTTCAACGAGAAATTTGGGCGTATCGGCTCGAGGCTCAGGACTGAGAGACCACTACCTCCCTCTCTTCCCAGGTAGAAACAAGCGGCCCCACACCGCATCCTCACCTTTACGATCATTTGTCCATCAATGCTCTTTTAGTTGAACAGCAATTAACGGCTTCCTTTTTCGCTGCCGCATCTAAGAT